GTTTAACACTGAAATTTTAACACTCCTGTTTTTGCTGTGTACACTGCAAAAAATGTCCATCTAAGCAAGTTTTAAAATCTTATATCCAGTCAAAATGTCTTTTTGAGATTGATTTACTAAACAAGAACTGACTGTGTAAGAATAATCATCTTGTTTTCAGAATGTATAAGATTATTTGTCTTGTTAGCCTGAAAATTTGACTCAAATTCAGCCAAAAATGTCTGCCAATGGAGTAAGAAAATTTTTTACTTGATAAGATTCTTGAAAAACTTGATTTGACTCTTATTTTTCTTATTTCAAGAATCTTACCAAGTAAAATTTTCTTACTCCATTGGCAGATATTTTTTGACTTAATTTGAATCAAATTTTCAGACTAAGACAAATAATCTTACACGTTCTGAAAACAAGATTATTATTCTTACACAATCAGTTCTTGTTTAGTAAATCAGTCTCAAAACAAGATCAAAAAGACTTTTTGGCTGGATATAAGGTTTTAAACTTGTTTAGGTGGACATTTTTTGCGGTGTAAGGACATTAACTGTAGTTGTAAATCCTCCTCTCAGCTTCACGAAGAAGTGAGTCCAGAGGAACCGAGTCCTGGAAGAGGCAGCTGGAGCTGGCTATCGCCTGGAACCGAGTGGACATCGCCAAGGCTGAGATTTTCACTGAGGAAAGCCAGTGGAAGGTAGGTTTACACAAAACAATGAAGCACTAATACATTTTAAATTCATCTCAAATCAGCACAATTCAATTTAATAATACTTTATTAATGCTAAGGGGAAATTAAATGTTGTAACTCATATTATCCTAGTTTCTTTGAATTATAGATACTGCTGGCTGTGTATGAAAGAATAAATAAATTATTGGGAAAATGTTTCAGTCTGGTGAAACCTCTTCAAGTTCTGCAGAAGCCTATAATCATGCATTCAACCAAATCATGTGTTAGAGCAGAGAAACCTCAAAAACATGCAGAATAGTGGTTCTCCAGGACAAGGATTTAGATTTATAAGGTGTTTGACTGTTTGGCAGTCAGATGAGTCAGTAGCAAGTTAAAAGAATTGTTAGAAATAATAATTTCAAGGATAATAAAATGTAGTTTCGATCTTGATGCCTTTCTTTCTCCAGTCCAGCGACCTCCACTGGGCCATGTTCTCAGCCTTGGTTGGCAACAAGCCTCAGTTTGTGAGTCTGCTGCTGGAGAACGGCGTGAGCCTGAGGGATTTCCTGCAGGACGAAGAAACTCTGCGGCTGCTCTACAACCACATGCCCAGCTGCTTCTTCCTGTGCAAGCTGGCCAAGCGGGTCAAGAGCGCTTGTCGCAACAAGACGAAGGGCTTCGGCCGGAGGGCTCGCGGAAGCACAACGAAAGGTGAAATGATCTGCTTGTCTCAYGTGTCTGACGAGGTGCACCACCTGCTGGGAAGATTCACCAAACCCATCTACCCTCCCTCCACCATGACGTACCACCTCGACATGTCCATAACAGACACGTCAGTGTCAGTAAGTGTTTATCCAACTTACTTATTATTCTTTAGCATCATAAATCTGACAAACGTTTGCAGCAAAGTGTTTTTTTTTTCTAAATGGAAAACTTATTCTGTTAGTCTAACCAATTTTCTTTTAAAACTTCAAGCTAAATTTAATTTTAAACTAATTTATATTGAATATTTATA